ACCAGGGTTGTAAGTATTACCTCTCTTTGGAGGGCCGCTCATTCATATGCGGCTTGATCCAATTGAATTCAAACTCCACGAGAGATAATGGTGCCCACATATTCCCCAGTAGTACACCTACTGGGACTCGGATTTGCTATGGGTTCGTCAGACGACCTTGCGTGGGACATCCACCTTACGTTCCAGGGGGCACGCAATGTACAGACGCTTAGTTCTACCACTGGCTGAACATCTGCAAGTACTTGGCACTGCTCGGCAGCCAACAGATCTGTGTCTTTTTCTTCACCATGACTGAGGTCTGCCGCTTCCGACCTGCTCGTACAGCTTCCGCTTCCGGTACCCTATCTGGATCTCGCGGCACGGGAATTGTACTTCGCACTTAGTGCGACACCCTTCGTATCCTTAAGAACATGAAGTGGACGTGGAAGCCTTCGGTGTAGGTCGTGCCTATTTGGATCTACTTTATGAATACGGTGACTGATGCTCTCATTGTGAAAATAAGAGCTCCCTCCTTGTTTATAATCCAGACATTTTCACCTCTCCTGACAGGTAAACATAATTTCGAGCATACACGGCACGGTATGGCGGCACAATTATCGGTACCTTTTGTTTCTGTAAAGATTTTCATCTCAGATATGCCTCTTCTAGACAGGCACGTAAGTAGCGCTCATAATTTTTTCGTGGATTTCTAGATTAAAGATTTAGTTTAGTGCGACACTTTATCGCTCTATTGCCCGTCCTTGCTTTTGGAAAGCTTACTGCTTAGCATGGGCGACAGTCCGCCAAGCGAGCGATCGCCGCATCCGGTCTTAGAGCTGCCAATTGCCTTATCACTTCGGAAAAGCACTTAGCTAATTCGGGCAACAAACAGTTTTTCAAATCAAGACTCGGTTGTCGGGTCGACGACTTGCTTCCAAGTGCAACGAGGTTGTCGTGCACCTTACACGGAGGAAACATTTACTCGATGTGTCTGCGTCAACAAACGCACAGAGGCTATGTTTGTTTGCTCATTTTAATGGAGCGGAACCGATAGCTGCATCATTTTCTATTTCAAGAGTGACAAAATATTCAGAGGCAAGGCTAATTTCGACCAATTTTACAAATCTTAATTTATTGTGTTCAGCAATAAAGTGAGTGTACCACGTATGACGCTTACAGCATATATGTGTTCACTGACCTCTCCTTGACGGAGTGATATCGTCCTCGTCGAGACAAGTACGTTGGTTTTCTAAGCTTTTGCACAAATATATTGTGTGTACATCATATTATGACACGTACCCAATTACACCATTTCTTAGAATGCTCCGACTCCGAATTTTCAAGCGCATTTAGTACGAGAGTGCTGAAACTGGAGTAATCAAGCGTCGAAAACAACGCTACATTAACACGATCGCAGGGCTTGGCACCAAGCAGCAGCTGATGCTTGGGCTGGAGGGGGGTGAGATATCCGGTGGTTCCACGTTTCTTAATGGACGACACGGCGAGAGTAGCGACAAAGAGAGATACAGAGAAAGGATGGATACTGCATGGCAGCAGCTCCACAATTCGTAATCATGTAATCGGGAATATAATTCTAATAATAATACGTTAAATAATATTGTTTTACCTATTGTCTGAGGTCTGTACATTAAATGCTATTCAATTTACGGTTCAACATATTCTCACTAGAATCAGTGGAGCCGATTGATATGGCAAGAGCTCAACCTCATCGATTAAGAATCCTACACAACTCATCAATGACATGCGTCTAGTCATTTTCTGATGGCGGCGATAAGACGGCAACGACATTTCTGGCCGCCCAGAATATCTATGCCTATTGTTATCTGCATTTCGTCTTCGGCAGTTTGGGTCGTATGGCCTCAAATAGTGCCCGAACCGCGCGAAGCCAATATTCTTGCAGCATATGACCAAATTCGATTAGTACAAGCAACAAATTACCTACACGATGCCGACAATGTCGAGGCTTTTTCAGTAAAGCTTTGATTACCGAAATGTTGTCTCAGGGTACACTAATATTTTGACACCTAATTGATAAGGCTATTCTATGGTCAAACTTGCGCAAAGTCGCACAATTCTTCCGTTTGGTGGTATATGCGAAAAAAACGCAACTATTTGCACCTCTTCGCACTCGAGCTAATTAAGCCGTTATTAACAACTTTTGCCCGACTCCTCGCGAAAATTGATAGCAGTTTTGAGAGTGTCTCTGTAAGACTCTTTTTTCAATCTTCATTCCGCAAGAACCGCTTTCAGCCCCATTAGCTTCATACCATGAGCCTCGATCAAGAGCGTGCGGATTTTAGCGAGGATGAAGAGGAAGAATTAATGTTTAAGTTTGAGGAGCAGGATGCTGAACTATCTCCACGGCTGCACAGCGGAGATTCGCAAATCTTCTACTCGATTGACGGCGTAGACTTCGAGCGTCCAGCCAACCCCATGGTCGCGATCCTCGAGTGTCACGAGGCTGTTGACCGCAAGAAACGGGGACGAGAAGAAGATGGAGTGCAAGAACCTGATGCTGACGTTATTGAGGAGGAAATGGTTGCGACCCCCGTGTTAAAGGGCAACCCTAAGCGCACGACTTTCGAGTTACCGAACGCCCCCGCTCGCGTTATTCGTCCTTTGGCTAAGAGATTCAAATTGAATGGGCTCGAGCGCTCCATTACGGCCCCTGCCTGTCTCATGGACAACTTATCACTCTACTGGACAAAGGATGAGACGATTCCGGAATTAGAAGACGAGGAGCCCGAAGTTCCCTTCCGCTCTGCCTCCATTAATATTCCGAATACGTTCCAACCGATCAATTGGCCAGGAGACGCTGCAATTTCACATAGTTATGGAAAGGATCGGAGTCACTCGTGCAGTTCATCATCCTCATCTAAGTCGTGGGCAAGTGGTCTCGGACTTTTTTGTCGTCGCAGTCTTGACGTATCGTCTCCTCTTCGTGTGCGCCTTAACGATTTGATGCTACACCCATCAGCTGGAAGTTACTCTGGCTTGTGAAGATGCTGGCAGAAGACACGTTTGTTTTCTCGCATTCTTCTTCGTTTTGATTTTAGGCCACATCCAGTCCACGGATCTTTCAAAAAAACAAAGCTGCGTCATCTGTGGGTTGACAAAAAAAACACACGGCAGTAGCTTCAAGCAGTTGTGGACTATCTGCTATTCTTTGCATTAATCCACCCCTCATATCTAGCAAGAAAAGGCCAAGCAACTTTCTCACCTTTCAAATGTAGCGACCCCATCGAGTCGACCGATATTTATTTTTGCATGAGTGAAAGAAAATTAACAATGGAGGTAGCTAAACCGGCACTGCTACACCGGTACGGTACTAATAAAAATGTGTTTAACAGTTTGTCATCGAATTTCGAAAGAAAAATATTAGTCAAGTAGTTGAAGCAGTTCCGTCAGGCATTCCCGGACTGTCGGGGCAGAGGTTTCATTTGCTTTACCCGCAGAAAATATCGAAATATGAATTTTTGCAGCTTCTTTTGTCCTTACATCGCCGCTTAGCGCCTGTTACACATGATCCATCGAAGTCAAAAGAGATTCTATCTTTTGGCAACGAAACATACCATTGTACCAATGGCCACGAGAGATCGCAAAATCGTATCATCGCCCAATTCCTCGACTGTGTACGCGCCGTTCAGCAAGTCGGCAGATAGTGAGACCACCACGACCTGATCCTCGGGCGTGAGAGCTCCTGAACTTGCTACTTGCACTCGCGCAAAGCTATTTGAAGCAACGTTAGATCGCCTGTCAGAAGCAAGAAACGATTCACGACGTACTTGAGCAGAATAGTTGAGAGACTGAGCGCCACGAGTTTATCGTGAAATTTCTGGAAAAGTGGCAATTTCTTCAACACTTCATCCTTATGAGCCAGAATTGACTTTCGAGCTGCGTCATGCAAAAACATGTTTGCAAGAACACGTAATGAAAGCATGCGCGTTGCTACAGGAATTGCGTCGTCGCCCTCCGTCGGACTAGTTTCCAATCCAATGCGTAGCACCTTGGTGACAAGTGCTTCAAGCCCTGCTTCTCCAAGGGAAGCTGGGCCATGAGGGTGTACAAGCACGAGTCGGAGAAGATCCAGCGTCGGAAATGCCTTATTTGCTGGCCAGATGTTTAGCGAGCTCTTAAGTGCAGCTATCTCGGAAACGGTGAATGTGCTAGAATGGTAGAACGCGGTATCTTGAACTATGTGTACAATCTGGTCAAGAGCGATAAGTTGAGAGTCTGTCAGGGCTTCTGGTGCCTACAATATAAATTGTTATACCATGAAAAGTGAATGAAATACGCCTTAAGATATATAAGATGTACCTGAGCTTCTTTCAACTGGTCATTAAACTGACGCAACGTGCTCATAAGCCTTGCGATCTTCGTCGTTTCGAATGTGTTGTAACCAGACTAAATGACATAATTTTAACACAATATATCAGCTTCACATATCCTTTTAATAAGCTCAATACTTACCACAGGAAAATACTTGTATCGGGGAACAGTAGCAGCAGAATCCGCTGAAACACAATTGCCAGAAGTGGAATCCAAGCTATCGTTGCTTCCTAGCACAGGCGGATGGTACTCACCAGCTCGCTGTGTGATGTAATCAGCAATTTCGCGTAAATACGCCTGGTCCAGCAAGTGCTGGTCGATAAACTTTTGCGCTATCGTAAATGGATTTTGACCCTGGTTATATCCAATTTTTAGCTTCTTCAGACCACCAGGCGTTTCGATCTCAACTGGTATCAACATGTCATATGCTTGGCCGTCGATGACTCCGCCACCGCCAGTCCCAGTCACCTCTCCAATCTATAGAAAACATTTAAGAAATCATCATGTATTCAAGTTGAAGTCGTTGACTTACATCGATCCAAGTTCCTGAAGGACCACTCCATTGACAAGCCCATGCTTTCGTGGCGCGACGAAACATTTGAATTTGACCGTCAGACATCCCAGGGACATTGATTCTTTGGTCATAGTCGGGAAGTGACTTAATTTCCACGCCACTTGGTCCCTGTGTCCTTGCAATTCGCGCTTCCTCCACCGCTGCTTGAAACGAAGCTACTGCATTTGGGTCCACACGCGCAACATCATATGTAAAAACTCGCACAGCTTTGTCGTCGCAGCCCGTGGCAAAGTCTCCATTTGGTAGTGGAGCCACACACCAAAGTCCTCCCGGGTGTTCCAAAGTCTGAATAAGTGCACCGTCCTGTGACCACACACGCGCCGTCGAGTCTTCGCTCGCTGAAACGAGACAACCGTTGCTAAGCACACAAACGCCTAGTATGAAGCCTGGTTTACCTTCTGGATTCAATGGGTGCTCCATACTGGCCAGAATAGAGCCATCCATTGAACGAAGCTTAATGGATCCATCGTTGGAACAACTTACAAAGCCGATGTCCGGTACCAAAGCCAACTGTCGGATTGGACCCTGGTGGTCCGTCAGTGATTTTGTCAGCGCGAACGTGTCCTTGGTCCAGAAGCGAAGTTTGAAGTCTACCACGCGATTACCCACCTGCTGACCAGTAGATCCAGTAACCAAGGAACCATCCGGTAGGCTAAGCACGCAGACGCCGTTTTCATGACCACGCAGGACTTGCAGACACTGTAGCTTCTCGAGGTTCCAGATGCGAGCCGTGCCATCCCAACTGCCAGAAAATAGTGTTTTTTTGTCTAGAGATAGATTTAAGGAGGTGATGCCACCCTCATGGCCCTGCAGTACAGCATAGCAATTTGCTTGGGAGTCGAAAAGGTGTATTTTCTTGTCCATGCTACCGGTGGCGAAGCCACCACCTTCGAGTGCCACGCTAGCCGTGACCCAGTGTTCGTGTTCATAGGTGACTGCGCTTTGTAAAGCCACAAAATTACCGATGGTAGAGCTGGAGTCACGTACCCAAACACGGGCTACAGAGTCCATGGCGCCGGTCACGAGGAGATCATTGGAAATGGTGGTGATGCAGCGTACCTAAAGATTATATAAAGCAATATGAAAAAAATGATGAACGTTCAGATAGATCAAAGTTAAAGTGTTAGAATACGATTGGAGACGGCAGGACTTACTGCACCTTCGTGTCCGCGAAGCTCGCAGTTAACGTCGTATGTGGCCGTCATCGTTGCTTTCTGCTAAAAGGAATAATCAATCATTTTAGACTCACTAATTCCGATTGCGAATTACTAATCAAGTCATCACTCACAGATATGAGATCTGTAAATATGCAATACCCGCTAACTATGTAGCGAGTGATTATAATTCTAAACCGGCACAGCAATCGGAAAATATCATTCTGCTCCGTCAGCCCGCCTATTCTTTGTTCGCGCATCTTGATCAATCTAAACACCGGCAGCATGTGGCACTTGTAATTCGTACCTGGCTCAGGTTGCCCGGCGTCTACCCAAGTTCGTGCCGTCCAGCTCCCCACAAGCCTCATTGTCTATCGTTTTCAACAGGTTGTCGTGCACGTTGCATAAGGTAAGCTGTGACTTTTAGAGTCCACGATCACAAAGAAGCAGATGTTGGATTCGCGCGCCCCTTCTAGGAGCGGAGCCAAAACTTTCAACGGTAATAAACACTGTACGTTCGCTCTGCTTTTCAGCATATGTATATTAAATCGCATTCTTTCTTTACATAAGCTCAATAAACACGTTTTGCGAACAGACCGGAGCCTTGAAAAGTGATGCCATATCCTGGACTTAGTACAGTCAACAAGTTGAGCTCAGCTACAGTCGAGATAACTCGCGTTCCATTCAAATACTGCAGCGGGGCTGCCGTAGCTTTGCGCTTAGAGGAAGCGTAAGTAAGGTTACCGACCTTACGTTCTTCACAAGAACCAGTACGAGTGTAGCGGATCGCAATCCACTACCTCCAAGAGAAGTTAGAATTTTAACTCAAGGCTTATAAACTCTTCTGTTGCAAATGTAAAACTCAATCTATTTGTTTTATCTGCGGCAAGCCGCCTAATTTTAAATGTATAGATTTTCCTAATTATATATAGTAAAATCTAAGAACATGCATAACTACTCACGAGTCCTATTCTTATTTGGGTGTAGTCACACCACTCGGCGTGAGACGAGCCTTGCTCGCGCCTTGCGGACCCCATGTCCGTTTCCTGACCTCTCATCACTTGTGGGACGTGGTGTCATCACCAATAACCTCGATGAGGCACAGAAGCGGCAGCTGGAAGCTGCCTGTAAGGCGGCTCTGATGCGCGCCATTCACGACCGGTCATTGACCGTCGTGTGGAATATGGCTTCCGCCCGGCGGATCCCGCTATGGAAGCGAAGGACGTGGTA